GGTGCTTGACGGGGCATGCGGAGGAGGCGGTGGGTGGTGAAGAATAGGATTTTGGAGTTGTTTTTGGTCTCCAGACGAGTATCACGCAAAACTACTGCGTCACATACAACTGCTGTATCAACAATTTCCATCCTGCATTTTCTTTTAAAAATTAAGAAATAACAAGAGCCGAATGCTGCCTTTGGCGACTCTCAAATCCTTGTCCTTGCTTTGGTTCTACAGTATTCTATTACAGAATATCAACAATACTCATCTATTGTCCAAAAAGGCAGATATTCTGCAGTTCTTGTAGATTCCACCACACCATAATGACAGATTTCAACAAATACTGCGTAACCCTTACACTAGAATTATGAGACTTGAATATTTCAAAGAGCAAGCTTTGCCTTGCAGGTCACAAACAAACTGTGCAGTTTAATGCTTTCATGTCAAGGACCGTTATGAATTGATTCTCAGGTGGCACTTAAAACCACAAAACCAAGTCACGCCCGCAAGATGAAATCTTAAAAAAAAATTTATGTTGAAAACTGCTGGTTATTGTAAAAATAATAATCCTTGTATTTGATTTGGTGCTTTATCAATAACAACTTGCATTTATATAGAGCCCTTCATGTGGGGGAGTGTCCAGGAGTGCTTCACAGTGGCAGAATCTGACAAGGAGCCAGGGGGAGCGGAGGTGATTGTAAGCATGATCAAAAAGGAAGGTCTTTAGGCAGGATTTGAAGGTGGGGATGGAGGGGGCAAGGTGGAGGGATTGAGGGAGAATTTCAGGGAGTAGTAATAATAATAATAATAATAATCCTTGCATTCGATATAGCGCTTTTCACGTCGGGAGGACGTCCCAAAGTGCTTCACAGAACACACTGTAAAGTGAATTGACTGTATATTTGTGGGCGAACGCGGCAGCCAATTGCGCACAGCAATGTCCCACAAACAGTCGTAGATTGAAAATGACCAATTTATTATTGTTTTTGATTTTGGAGGGATTATTATTAGGCGTGTGGAGTAAGGAAACTAGCCCAAGGTTTTTCCCTGCCTGGAATTGAACTCAGGTCTCTCGCTTGCAAAGCGAGTGCTCTAACCACTGAGCTACAGGACTCCAGTCGACTCCAGTCGACTCAGTGGCTGAAGGCTGGAGGCAGCAAATAGAAGGCTGGAGGCAGCAAGTGGTGGAGTGAGGGGTAAGCAGGTCAGATAGGTAGGGAGGTAGGGTATTAAGTGATTTGAAAACGAGTGACAGGATCTTGAAATCGATTCGTTCGGTGATTGGAAGCCATTGGAGCCTGGTAAGGACTGGTGTGATGGGGATATGTAGTTTTGTGCAAGTATCTCGCAGAGTTTTGAATTAATTGAATTTTGTGTATGGTGGAGCTGGGGAGACCAGCGAGGAAGTGACGAAGGTGTGGACAAGTGTTTCAGCTGCGTCGAATGTGTGGTATGGACAGAGGCAGGCAATGTGGCAGAGGTGGAAAGAAGCGGTCCTGGTCAGGGAACGGATGTGCGGTAGAAAGGAAAGCTGGTAGAAACACATACGTTGCGCACGGGTTTGGAGAGTCTGAGGGAGAGCCCGGGGAGATTGAGCAGTTCAGACCCGCAGGAGAGAAGACGTTGACAGGAGCCAACAAGTATGGCTTCCATCTTGCTGAGATTCAGCTGCAGGAAATGTACGCTCATCCAGGCCCTGATGTCCATCAAACAAACTGACAGGCCATCAGCAGACTGGGAGTCGCAGCTGAAGTAGATTTGTGTGCTATCTGCATACATGTGGAAGTTGACCCCATGTCTGTGGATGACACCCCCGAGAGGGAGCATGTAGATGAGGAAACGAAGGGGGCCAAGGATGGAGCCCTGGGTTAACCCGCAGGTGACTGGTCATTTGCGAAAGGTAATGTTGGCAGTTGGTTAAGTAGGACTCGAACCATGCAATTGTGGTCTCACCAAGCTGGAGAGGCGGTGGAGGAGGATGGTGCGATCGACTGAGTCAAATGCAGTGGAGGTCCATGACAAGGAGGTAGAGGGGGCCTTGGTCAGAGAGGATGTCATTTGTTACTTCAACAAGTGCTGTCTCTGCGATGTTGGCTGGCCAAAAACCAGACTGGACTAGGGATTGGAGAGCAAGGTATGAGGGAAATTGGTTCCCAACAACCAAGGCTTTGGCAAGGAAGGGCAGGTTTGATATGGGACAGTAGTGTGCAAGGTTGAAGGGATTGAGAGGAGGTTTTTGAGGAGGGGAGTGATGACAGCTGTTTTGAATGGGAGTGGGACTGAACCTGAGGAGAGGGACTGATTTATCATGTGTACCAGAAGTGGTAGTTGGGGATGGTAAGGGACATGGGGCAGGAGGCGGAGGCCAGGCAGATGTTATCATGTACTCCAAATGTCTCAAAAGCACTTCATAGGACTTTCACTGTATTTTGTAGGTGAAAATGATGAGGACAGGTTGCATAAATTTGGTCTGAATTCCCTTCAGTTTAAAAGATTGAGATTTTTAAAATAATAAAAGGATTTGATAGGGTAGATACAGATAAAACTATTTCCTCTGGTAGGGGAATCCAGAACAAGGGTAACCCTAATCCCTTCACATCTTCAAGACTGAGGTGGATAGTTATTTGTTAGGTCAGGGTGTTAAGAGATACGAGGCAAGGGCGGCTAATTGGACTTGAGGTACAGATCAGCTAGGATCTTATTGAACAGACTCGAGGGGCCGAATGGCCTACTCCTATTTCTATGTAAAATCACTCCCTGAAACACATTTAATTTGATGAAATTATTCACAGGAATACTCGTTGAATTACCCTGAAACAACTAAGGAAAATAGTTGGCTGTGTCAGTGCTTTCTTGATACACCAAAGTATAACACGGAACTAAGAAAATCATTTTCAGCCTCTGACTAATTCTGATATTATGTTCATTATGTTCAACTTACTTGTTATACTGTATTTTCAAAAATCCATCAGGTCCAGATGTTCTTTATAAACTACTATTAGATACATTACGGTCCATGTATAGCAGGAACAGCAGCTGAACAAACTATTGTGGTAAGAGGACAAGAGTGAAGTCTCAAACTGGGAGCAAAATGTACTAAACTAGATATTTTATGCATTCTTTCTATGCTGATTAAATGTTCAAAATCAACTGAAATGAACAGCAAAACCGAAAATCAAAACTTATATTTTTGTGAATACATTTCATTCCCTTCTTATCTATCCAAGTTTCTCACCCCCACCCAGGCTTCTCTGTTTAACTTTACTCTTCCAAGTCTCCCCATGTCAAACCATACTCCTAGATTTGGGGAAAAGTTGCCCATTCAACTTTCCCAATAATGCTCTTGAAATAACTATGACATGAAAGAGAATTGATGGGTTATTATGACAAGCAACACTTGCTCCATTATTATTACAAACATTTCCCCCGCCCAGAATGGTATGGCAGATCCATTAACTCCTGTGTATGGAGCCTTGGACACTCATTTCACTATTCTGTGAAGACAACAATCAACACCAATGGTGTCCCTCATTTTCACTGTGTAGGCAAGGTGCAGTTGCTCATTTAGGAACTCAAATAATTACCTTGCTCTGGGAGCAATATGATGAGTCTCCAAGTATTTTAATTGTGTAAATCTCTTAAATCCATTATAAATACGCATTGGCACATAATGTAGTCAATTTACCGAGCAATCCTGGAAAGGGAAAAAGTTGCAACCCACAAATTCTGAACAGTTAACTGATGACTACTCTCAGGTTGAGGAAAATCAAACAGGAATGGGTCGGGAAAGTGATTTAATAAAAACATTAACGCTTGGATTGAGGTATCCTGTTAAAAATCAGAAATATACATATTTCAAGATTTTATTTGAAGGCTCCTGGGCATGTGAATTACTGATATTCTCGCTGCAAGAAAGTTGCAGATCAGCAACATTTTCATCAGTATTTTTGGAGATAGAGAAGAAAAAAAATATACCTATAAAAATACAATTGTAGGCATTGTCATTATGCGTGCTTTTAAAAAAAAGAAACACATCCATGTATGTATTCTTACAATTATCTGCTTGCCCACATATTACCTAAAAAGATTTGCTAGAATTCTTGAGAAAATTACAAGTTATCTTTCTTTTCTATTTCAATATTAACTGCTGTTCCCTTAGTGCTCAAATTTCATTTATTTACAAAAAGGAAACATCACTTGAGATGTTCGGTGGTTTGAGACAGTCCTTAACCATTAACTAAAATGGAAACAAATTAGCATTTTCTCATTTCAATTGAACGTAAAAATGCAGTGATGAGCCTCATTAACGTTTTATTTGGTCCCCGACAAGTCTATAGGGGAATAACCTGAGGTTAATGAATCATGCATTCACACCAATAAAGGCCGGCAACGTATATGGTTTCCTAAAAGACAAATGAACCAAAGCAATGTTAATTCATTAGTGGGCCACGTAATTTATTCAGTAGTTTATATTCCCCATATTCCAAATTAAAATGAGTCTATTAAACTGTAAAAACCATAGCAATTAAATTAATTGAGCTTACAAAATACCATACATTTGCTGACGTCAACCTCAAAAATGTCTGCAAGACAGTATTAAAAAGAACCAGAAAATCAATGTAGGCACTTAATAAGTTTGTAAAAACCTGTACCTGTACATTTTAGAATTTCTGGTCTCAAAAAAATCTTCATTTTCCTACCAAATTAAGAAAAAAATAAAAGAAATAAAATTAACATACATCTGTAGCTACATAAACTGACTTGAGTTTAACATACATCTGTGGCTATATAAACCTACTGCAGCTTAAGCCACTAAGTCTTTGGGTCTGCTCTGGTCAATTATTCTTTATATCAGATCTTATGTACAGGAGATCTGGGAATACACATGGGTAGTAAACTAAATAATGTAACCAAAAATAAATTTGGTACTTCTTTTGCAGGAACTCACTCATCTGAGAGATGCTTAAAGAAATCAAGCACAGTGTAAAATAAACATTGTGACACTACTGTTTTATACAAAGTAGAGGTCAATGTTTACATAGCTCCCATAGCAGAAATTACATTTACACATATCTGAATTATTTGAAGACAAATTGCACCATGAAAACTATAGAAAGGCATTTTAACATATCTGAAAAGATAAATTAATGAACATTTTTAACTTGTAAGATCAATTTTCATGTGTGTTATGACTAAATTATAGAACTCTCATAGAAAATTGAAGGATGCAGAACAAGTATCTCTCATACTTCCATTCGCTCTGCAGATGTAGTTAAAATGTATTTTTTTCTTCCGCAAATTTCAGTGAACGATAGATACTAAGCCATTGCTGTTCACAGTCACAATCTTAAAGCATTAAGACTAAGTCAAATGGCATTTTTTCTTTAAAAAGAATACAGGAAAATGTTTTAAATACAACAGGGTTCGTTACAAGAGAGCCTTTGTGGCTTTTCATTAAGAAAAGGTCTTCATTATCTCTATGCAAAAGCTTTAATTAATATAGTTCAGTGATCTCGCAAATCGAGATACTCTTAAGGTTTATGCATAAAACTCCTTGGTGGGTGCCTTTTGATAGGCCGCGGTGGATGGTTTACGTTCACCGAGGTCATAGCTGCCTTCGTCCTTCTTCCTCATGCGGTACACCAAGAGCAAGATGAGGAAAATGGCAAATAAGAAGCCAATGACTCCTCCAGCAATAACAGCTGCAAGACAGATATTAAACCAGTGAGAAAATAGCTTGCAGAAACAAGCAATTGTATACTATCAAATTATACACACACACACACACACAGTACCTTGAGGAAGAAGCAACAACTTGCATTATACAGCACTTGGTTACCACCAGATGGTCTTCAAGATCATCACTCTTAACAATAAACCCCTGCACATCTTTGCTGTCTCTACCTTCGCTAATCTTCTCCAGCCTTACTCTCCTGTTTGCCCCTTCTACTTGGTAAACTCAGGCCAACTGTGCGTGACTTGCCCTTCCATCCCACCATAGCTACTGAGTCTGCAGCGATTATAACCTCCTCTCTGGAACTCCCTGCCTAAATCTTTCCATCTCACCCCCTGCTCAGTCTTTAAAAGCATCCTAAAAGAAAACAACTCTTTCGACCATGCCTACAATTACCACCCTCTCCTGTTTGCTCGGTTTCTGGCCTCATCTCTGTAAAATGTGCTTCCCAACATGTAAGGTACTATTTAAACACACCAGCACTTGCTAAGTGGACGTGCACCTTTCTCCTGTTGAACTCTAGGTATAATGTACAAGCTAAACAAATGCACGATAGTATTCTAATCCTTATGACCAGTTTCCAATCAGAAATTCTTAGCTAGTGTCCAAACCAAGGTTGTCTTCGTAACAGCAGCTTAGTTCTCTGAGGAACAAAAAGAGACTACACAAAACTGACAATACCAAAACCTTGAATGGAAACATTACGAGCACTTCTGTTTGTTAAAATGAAGTATTAAGTGAAATTTGAAGCAGTCTTGGAAATATTTTTATTTAAGCTTGTATTGATGACTTCTCAGCATTTAAACAAACACAATCAAATTCAAAGATTACACTTGAAATCAAAATTGGAATGGACCCATTCATATGCTAATGCCAGTGATTATTTTCTTTGTGCACTGCTCAGCAACATAAATGCACATAACCACTACATAATACAATATCATTATACTTGAAATTCTTAAGAGCATTCATCGCAACACTATGGAGGATATGCCAACATAAAAATGCTAAAGGACTTTGAAACAGAAGCTAATGGATGATCATGACCCATTTTAAATTTTGCTATACTTATAGCATGTTCATAAAGGTCAACATACCAGAAGCCTGGATAGTCCATCAGAGTCCATAATGAGCTGCTTGCATTTTCACAACCCTCCCTAAAAGTTCTCTTGCAATGCGTGAACACACTAAGTTAGGTGCGCTCAAACTGCTTTTCAGGATTGATCAACTAAACTGTAATAAAATGTGGTCTAAACGTACGATTGATTCTTCACTCATTTAGTAATCACCTTTAATAGCCGTATTTTTGTAGTTTTAATATTCAATCGTGAAAGGATGACACAAGGTAGAAATCTAATTTACCTGCAAGAACTTCTGTTCTCTGGAAAAGGCTTTCTGAATGTTTTTCTGCCGAGACCTCAGTATCATCATCAGTATTGATAGTTGGTTTTTCAATAACAAAATCATCCGTTTTCTTTGGCTTATCTTGAATAGGGGTGTCCACAGTCATCTGTCCCGAAAATGGCAATGGTGAACAAATTAACAAATTAGATTATAAAGCTACCCTTAACATCTTAGTGAAGGGCATGCAGCTGTCATGGCACAACCACTGAGCTACAGGATTCCACGGAATAGCATGTTGGAGGTTACAAGATACAAGAGTCCTGTAGCTCAGTGGTTAGAGCACTCGCTTTGCAAGTGAGAGACCTGAGTTCAATTCCAGGCAGGGCGAAACCTTGGGCAAGTTTCCGTACTCCACACGCCTAATAATAATCCCTCCAAAAAAACAAAACAATAATACATTGGTCAGTTTCAATCCATGACTGTTTGTGGGACATTGCTGTGCGCAATTGGCTGCTGCGTTCGCCCACAAATATACAGTCAATTCACTTTACAGTATATTCTGTGAAGCGCTTTGGGACGTCTAGAAGACGTGAAAAGCGCTATATCAAATGCAAGGATTATTATTTTTATTAAACGTATGCTCTCTCTTGATTAATCCTTTACCAACTCAGTGTGCACTAACATAAACGTGAACATATTTGTGTGTGTGTTGGGGGGTCGCGGGAAGGGGAGGTAGAGAAGGGAGAAGAAAAGAATAAAGAATAGTACAGCACAGGAGGCCATTCGGCTTATCGTGTCTGTGCCAGCTCTTTGAAAAAGCTATCCTAATTATCCCATTCCCCCGCGCTCTCCCATAGCCCTACAAACCTGTCCTCTCCAAATATCTATCAACTTTTCTCTTGAAAGTTGTTATCGAATCAGCTTCCACTACCCTTTCAGGCAATGCATTCCAGATCCGAACAACTCGTTGTGTGAAAAGAAATTCTCTTCACCTCCCCTCTGGTTCTTTTGGCAGCTATTTTAAATCTGTACCTGCAACTCGGACTTTGTGTAAATGATATTAAATGGTATGGTCCCAATGGATAAGTAAAATAACCTTAAACTGGGGAGGCAGTAGATAAAGTGCCGGATGTTTGTAAAGCCATATAGACCACAAAATATAGAAAATGCTCACAAAAAGCCATTTTATTGCAGATCTGAAAGTACAGTAAAACTCACAAGTCGTATCCATTTGGCCCATAACATTTAATATGACTTACACAAAATCCGAGTTGCAGGCAAACTGTATAAATCGTATAAAATCTGATGTAATCAATCTATATTGTGGATGCAGTACTTTGTCACTGGAGGTGAGAAGATTCAACCTATTGCCGCATGCACACTTGCTGGCCAGCGTTGGAATCGCAATGAATAACGGAAATTAAGTTCTTCTGTGCATGCATAGACGGATCAAGCCTACGTTTCCCACGATTCAAAGCAGATGACCAGTAAGTGTGCATGCGTCGACTGGTCAAGAATTCATTTCCCGCAATTCAAAGCAGCCGGTAAGTGCGGGAGTAATGGAGGATAGGGGAGCAACGTTACAAGTTAGGAGGTGCTTAATTTCACTGGTGCAAAGAAATCTAAGTGGTTTTGATAGGAAACTGAATGGGTCTTGGGTCGATGTACAACTTTGGCGATTATACAATTTGTAAAATTAAGACTTATGCGAGTTTTACTGTACATCTATAAACTTAAATATTCACTTGCCTCGGTTTGAACAGGTTTTCTGACCATTTTTTTCTGCGTGGTTGGCTCCACTCTTGCGATAACCAATTTTGTTGTGGCGGTAGTCGTTTGGATGTCTGGAATCATTTGTGGAGGATTAAAGGTTGCCATTTGTACAATTGCAGAATTCCCTGGTTGAAAGGGAAAAAAAGATTCATCTCAATGCATATGGGGATTACAAGTATGTAACAAATAATACACATAAAAAAGTATTTCAATGTGATGAAAATGCATTACTTTTATGAAGGCTTACATCTGACTGACATTTTCACTGGTCACCAAAGTAACCAACCTGGAGATGCAGCGCGCTCTTATAATGCGATCTTTCCATTATAGGCACATGTCAGCAAGGTTGACAACTGTTCTATTTACAGAAGTGTTTTGGTTGTTGAATTTATATTTTGTGGCAGTCAAATGCACAACAAAAGTCACATTCTTTTCTATGGGTGTCAAAAATCTGAATCCTAGGTGATGGCTGAGATTTCACCTTCTCCTCTCACTAACTCCACTATTACAAAACAGTCACTACCCCCTGCAAAGCATTTTGGAACAACCTCAATGTGAAAGTCACCATACCAAATTTAAGTTATTTAAAATTATTTTATTCATTGCAAAATAGAGCTCAGATTATGGCTATAAACTCATCAATCTCTCCTCTTGCAACTTACAATAAATATCATCTGAATCCTTCAATAAGGTTATGGCTTTGTAACTCAGGTAGCCATTATTTTCTTTGTATGATTCACAGAAAGTACCTGTACATTTTGACTGTTATCCCCGTCTTCTCCTGATTACCCTTCAGAATGAACTTTACAAACTACCAGCTGAAAACCTGAGACCTACTTTTTTCTCTAAAGGGGCTGTGCTCCACTGCCATACGGCTCTCCCTTGCCTAGCTCACCTGATAATAATAATCGTTGCATTTAAGCGCTCTGAAACACCGTCCGGTGTGGAGGGCGCTATATAAATCCAAGTTGTTGTTGATATAGGATCTGATCACGTGATTGAGACATTTCAAAGTGCTTCACAGAATGTAGTTGTGTTGGTCAGCCAGGCGTCTGATACGTGCGGAAACTCATCACCACGCTTAAGAGAATGTACTGTACAGTAAATTGACTTACAGAATGTACTGTAATGTGAATTGATTGTATAGTTTGTGGGCGGAACTAGGGACGCAGCTTCTATTGGAAAAAGACCCATTAGGTGAAGGGGCTGTGTGTTCACTGCAGCCACTTTTAAAGCTGGATACATGTGCAGTGTAACAGCATCGTGCCCCTCTGCCACAAGCTCATCTTCATTGAGCATCATATTTCCTTTCTAACTGATAGTTTACTCCTGAATGAAAGGCTTTACACAGCAGTTATTTTTGTCACGAGAATTTTCCCTGTACAGTAGAACCCAATTATAATGTAGATCTTCTAACACCTCGTTAGAACATGAATGGAGTTTAGACTCTGACATTTACTTACAAAAAAAAAATCCAAAGTGCAGGCAGAAGGCCAGCCGGCTAACTTTGAAACACTGGCCGGTGCACTGAACACTAAAAATATGACTAGTCTCTGGGTTATCAGGTCGTCAACTGGACTTTGTGTACACTGCGCATGCCATTGCAGGCAGACTCATTTGGAAAGTTTAAAGGGCAGACTGATCGATACCATAAACTAAGTGTATCAATGGGCTAGGAGACGAGGAAAAAAATAGGATTCAATCTCTGCCCTGGTTTAATAACCTGCTGGACCAGGTTCAATGACCTCACCCTCTTGTTTCCATCTTGGATTGTTTAATATCTGAATTACTTAAAAGTCAAACCTGGCACAAATGTGTCTGCTGACTCCTGGATTTCTACAGGGCTCAAGTTTCCACATAAGGTCACAGTTTCTTTGCAGAAAGCTGCCTCTGTAAAACTGGATGCATGTGCAAAACTGCTGAAACAAAGTTGAAAATCTTTGTAGGCCCAGTGCATAACAATGCACACTGGATTTCTGTAACGTGTCCCCGGTCATAGATTCATAGAATGTTACGGCACAGAAGGAGGCCATTCGGCCCATCGAGTCTGTGCCGGCTCTTTGACAGAGCAAGTCACTTTCACTAACCCCAATCACCAGCTTTCTCCCCATAACCCTGCAAACCCGTCTTCCCCAGATACCTCCCCTCTGCTTCTTTTGGTAGATATCTTAAGACTGTGACCACAGGTCACAGACACATCTACCAGCGGAAACAGCTTTTCCCTATCTGACCTGTCGAAACCCTTCATGATCTTGAAGACCTCTATCAGGTCCCCGCGTAACCTTCTCTGCTCTAATGGGGAAAGTCCTAACTTCTCCAGCCTGTCCTCATAGCTAAGGTTCCCCATTCCTGGTATCATTCTCGTGAACCTCCTCTGCACCCTTTCCAGTGCCTTAATGTCCTTCCTGAAGTAAGGTGCCCAGAACTGGACGCAGTGCTCCAGCTGAGGCCTAACCAGTGTTTTGTATACATTAACCATAACCTCCCTACTCTTATACTCTATGCCCCTACTAAAAAAGCTCAGTACACCAAATGCCTTTTTTACTGCCTTATCTACCCGCTCCGCTACCTTTAGTGATTCGCTTACTTGAACAACCAGATCTCTCTGTACGTTCACCCCCCCTTAAGATTGAGCTACCAAGTCTATATTGCCTCCTATCATTTTTCCTACCTAAGTGTATCACCTCACACTTATCCACATTGAAATCCATCTGCCACATGTCAGCCCATTCCACCATTCTGTGTATGTCTGCTTGCAGTTGGTTACAGTCCTCCTCACTATTTACTACCCTACCTAACTTTGCACATACTCAGTTTATAAAGCCAAAAACACACCAGCCATATCCTTAAAAAAAATGTCAATTGCTGAATGCCGAGAATGGAGTCAACCCATTTAATTTTCTGGAATTACCTTAGAAAATTCAGTGAAGAGGGTGATAGAAACAGGCAGTGAAGTGGTGTCAGCAGCTTACCTGAGCCAGATCCAGAACTATCATAATCATCATCGTCAACCGGCCAATTTCCAGATTCAATAGCATCATCAACGTACAAGTCTTCAGACCATGGCAATTTTGTTGCCGAGACAGACTGCCTCTATAAGACAAAAACAAGGGATTCCACTGTCAAAATTCCAATGTTTCTCAGTCCCCTTAAGAACGCTTTCACTTTACGGAAGATTAAGAATCTTCGCGATCTTATATCTGCAAGAACTTTCTGCAATAGTTTACTGCTCAATAGTTATTAGGAAAGTTGAACAGAGACAACTTTACAAAATTTACGAAATAGGAATATTTTAAGTAGGGATTAAGGGATATGGGGACAAGGCAGGGTCAGGTTATTAGCTGGAGTTAGATTAGAAGATCAGCCATGATTGAATGGCGGGGCAGGCTCGAAGGGCCGAATGGCCTACTCCTGCTCCTACATATTATGAATAAGTCTTGTTAACATTGTCCATTGATACCTATGGAATCAACTGACCAAGGCCATTCAGCTAATATTTCAGTGCCATGGGGCATCTTCCTGATACGAAAGGCATATGAATACAATTTGTTGTTGTTGCAGATTGCAGCAGATCTTTTAAGCCTATTTCTTCATTCTTTCTCTAGCTTTCTCAAGATCCACTTCTCAAGACCATTCACCATGTAATCAACTACTGGGATGTCACGACTGGCAGAAAATAAAATAATTTTTGCATTTGATCCTGCATTTTATACAATCACCTAACATTTCAAAGCACTTCACAAGGTTTGTACCATGTGTAGCGATTGTATTTATTGAATAACACAGCAGCCAATTTGCACACAACACAGTCCCACAAACAACCAAGTGTATGGCAATTTTATCTGGAGGACCACTGGTCGGGACACAAGGAGAAACTCTTTTGACAGGAGCCTGGTTTAGCTTATCATCTGAAGTATAGAATTTTTGATATGGTAGAACTCCCTGAGCACTGCATTGGAGGTCAACCTAGAATGAGCTCAAAGTCCCAAAATGGGGCTTAAATACACAGGTTTCTGACTCGGAGACGAGAATGCTACTAACTAAGCCAGGCTGACACAAATATCAAAAAAGAATGAAGTCTGAGTTACTGGAAGTCACAAGCCAGCATTTGTTGGCAAATAAAAACAGGGCACATAAAAACAGTGAACGGTGTCAAAAAACAAAAGATTGAGTGATCAGAAAATGCCATTAAGTTACAGAATATTACACACATTATCAGTCGTACTACACAGAACTTCAGCATTTTGGAACTCATGCTCAAAGAAAATTGGAAGCAATTTCCCCAAATAAAGTTCAAGGCAGATTTCTTATAGATTTGGAAGGTTCAGAGGACAATTTTCACGAGGATAAACGTCTCGAAATGCTTCACACAGATTATAGGGTCCAGTAACAATAATCCTTGCATTTGATATAGTGCTTATGTCGTTGAGATGTCTCAAAGCGCTTCACAGGATACACTGCAAAATGGATTGCGTATTTTGTGGGCGAAACTTGGCAGCTAGTTTGCTTATAGCAATGTCCCAAGGGAGTGAGTGACCAAGTTTTATTTGGGGAATATGTTCGCTCGGACACCAGGAGAAATTCCCTTCTCTATTCGAACAGTGCCATGGGATCTTTAACATCCACCTGAACAGGCAGACAGGACCTCCGACAATGCAACACACCCCAGCACTACATTAGAGTGTCTGTTTAGACTATGTAATTCCAAGTGACAACGTGAGGCTTGAACACAGCCTTCTGACACAGAGGCAAGACACAGACTGATACACTTTGGGCTGAGTATGCAGTCTCTGAGTGTTGATCAAAAATATAAATCAAAGAGATGAATTAAGAGATTTTGAAAGCAAGGAGAGGCGGAGCAAGGCAAAGGGATTTTGGGAGCATTCCAGAAAGCAAGGACCGAGTGGGCTGAAGTCTCAGCCACAATTAGATCTGACAATACATTTTTGTTAAAATTTAAATTCTCGGATGTTATGAAGCGTGAAGAAATTTATGTGAACTTGCATATGGGTCTGATCCAAAACCAGGTTATAGCAAATTTAATATGCATTGAATGCTATTTCTGCAGTTAATGCATACAGTAATTAATTCATTTTACTGTGTATTAACTTTACTGTACAAATTCTATTCCTGATTAAAGACACAAACCAGAACTGTCAAATCACTCAAATAACTGTCATCAAGCATTACTGATGCTGGTCCTCACTATATCAGTATAAGGTGGTTAGAAAAAACAACATACCCTCTTTAGCTTGCAACTAAATAATAAACTTAGCATTTGATTTATCACATTGTCAAGACATCTCATAGCACTTCATAGGAATTATTGTAAAGCAAAGTGACTGTGTATTGCAGGCGAACGCAGACACCCGGAGAAACTATAGTCTCTTTTTGAATACTGCCATGAGATCTTTAACATTCACCCAAACAGAAAGATGTTTAACATCCCCTGTTCCTGTGTTTTACAGCTTGAAAATGTTACTTTACGTGAATGGTGCTTTACACATACAAATGCAAGGATTATAAGCAGATTTTGATACTGGCCATTAGCTACATTCAGAACCAAATTATAAAATAATTACAAAACAGAGTTATTAATATTGCACTAATTACTGTATGGTTATCAATAGGGAAGATCAACGGATTATTTAATGCATATAATAAAATGATTCTTCTGAATAGTATCCAGGCCACTCTACACAGCGCTTAGTAATGAATGTTTTCAAAATAATTACTTTGAATATAAGAAGCAAGTGAACAACGTACTGTACTGCCCTGGTTTCAATACGGTCGGAACTGCAAGTCACCGACCTCGCTCTCAAAACATTCACAGGGCTGAAATCAACTAAAGGATAAATATATCTAACATCTTCAACAAATGTTGCCTGATCATTTGATCATTCGGCCAGAAACAACACAATTAGTGGCAGGCAGGCTCATGGCGCACTCCTTTAGCTACATTATACATGTGGCAGGTACACCCTATAGTTCTTTCATGCTGTTCAGAGTAATTGAATGGATAAAGTTGTAATCGTTTTAAAATTGCATCACAATCTCTCCAAAGACACAAATAGTCATTCAAGACTGAGGTTGATAGATTTCTAAAGGATAGAGGGATTAAGGGATATGGGGATAGGGCAGGTAAATGGAATTAGGTTAGAAGATCAGCCATGATCTTATTAAATGGCAGGGCAGGCTCGAGGGGCCGAATGGTCTACTCCTGCTCCTACGTCTTATGGTCATTTGCAGAGTATATATGCACTTAGATTTTTTTTAAAATTGTTTGATTCAAGATCTGACATGTCTTTGGCTATACGATTGATTACAATTCACACATCTACCACATTGCACTGACTTTTTTGAAAAAAAAATCAAAAAAGGAAACATGCTGCACAAATTTTCTACCCTCCGCCTCTCCTGGAGACAATGAGCTTTGCTGGGGCGTCGTTCCCTAAAATCGGAATGTGGGAGAGGGAGTGAGTAGAGTTTGGGTTGGAGAGAAGTACTTTCAGTGCTTCACTTTTTCTCTTCCCTCGAGCTGGGCAAAATGGAAAATCCATGTATATTACCTAATGCGTACAATTACCTAAGAGGAGAATGTTTCCATCTTCCGATTTGAAACTAGTCACCAAGTGAGAAGCTATTGCATGAGGATATCAGCCAACCAGCACCTATTCCAAAAATTCCACAGACCTCCACCCCGGCCTGGTCCCAAATGTAGATCAGGAGAACTTGTTAGCCAAAAAAATGAATTGGCCCAGTACAAGAACCAAACCTTTATCACAGTCGGTCATATAATAAAAAGGTCCCATCAAACACATCTGCTTCCTATAAGTGCGGTAATTACCTGGGAAACCAAGAGCTTTGAACAATCGTAATTATATATAGGTTTGGTTTCTTCTTTGAAAACAGTCCTCGTTTAAAAGATTATAAAACAGCAATTTAACAAAGAGAAACAATTCTGTTTGGAAGAAGCTGAATAAGTGATTAAAGTTGCCTAGACTACATCCTCAGCATGTGAGGCAATAACTTTTCAGCTAATAGCCTTTTCCTCTGCCTCAGTGCTCCCCTTTGCCATTTATCGCTGTCGCTTCATGTGGTCACATTTCATGGCAAAACCCCTGGAAACCCATTGAGGGCTGCTGAAGCTTACCCATACAGAAGATGTGCCCAAAACTGATAGCGTTCTTCATTCTGAACAAAAGCAACTGTAATCAATCGTGCAAGACCTGCCACAGACCGTGATCAACACAGATTTGATTACATGCTTCCCCCCTCCCTTACCACTCTGCTTACTCAATTTTCTGGTCTTAATTAACATCTTGAAAAAAGTGTCCACATTAAGGCACCTGAGACCTGAAATTCCACCTAGCAAAAAAGGCATTTTGCCTTAAAATTTAAGATAATATATAATAATCCTTGCACTTGGTAAAGTACTTTTCCTGTCAGGAGAAGTCAAAAGGCGCTTCACAGGATTCACTGTGGAGTCTATCGCAAATTGTGGCAAATTCTTCAATTCAGTCAATTTTGAAGTCAGTTTTAGGTTCCAGTTAGGACTGAATCTTAGTATTTCCCACAATTCTGTATGATCTTAAATTTAAAGACTAAACGGTCTTCTTTCAGGTTAAGACTGGTGTAATTCCTGGCCTCTTATTTTGTTTAGGTACAGCGTACCATTGTAATACAGTAAGCATACAGTACTCCACAAGAACAGATAAATTGAGCAAGAAGCACTATTTTACTATTCTCACCCACAATAATTTTTTATAAGGACAAAAAATATGCCAGCAAATACTGCAAAACTAACTCTCAGTTTGCTGTGCACATCCTTGCCAGTCTGTATTCAAAAGATTCCTATCAAAACCAGGTTGATGCTTAGGAACAGCTCAATCCAATGAATCTTTCTGTGCCGTACATGATTTACTTCATGAAAAGCTTTGAAAAGGCCTTCAACAAGCTTTCCATGGATATTTCAGAGAGCCCGAGCAGCTATGTTTGCATAGTAGTGATGTTTTAGTGGTTGCCCAGACGTCCAAGTAAAGGATTTCTCTCTCCCCCTGGTTTGGCATTCTGCATGACCTCCTCCACCAAAA